TACCAGTACAGAACCTGGAGGAAACTTTTTTCTTTCTTTCTTTTCTTTTTTTTTTTAATAGAGACAAGTTCTCCCTATGTTGCCTGGGCTGGCCTTGAACTTCTGAGCTCAAGCAATCCTTCTGCCTCGGCCTCCCAACATGCTGGGATTACAGGTGTGAGCCACCCCGCTTGGCCACCTGCAGGACACTTTTAGAAAGTTAGGAATTGAAGAAGAAGGATCACATTCAACAAAGTTATTTTAGTTAATATAATAGGCAACAAGGGATCTGGAGAAGCGTAGGAGGAGGAAAAGGAGGAGAAAGAGAAGAAAACTGTCATTCTCTTAGGATTTGCCCTCTGTGATTGTCATTTTTGAGGCATTTTTTTTTTTGCAAGTCAAATAAGCAAGGACCATTTTTGACACAAATTATCTGTGATTTTGAATATAGTTCAACTGTCTTCAGGATTTTTTTAAAAAGCCTTTGCTTATAAAGTGATAATTTCCTGGGGAAACACTAAGGTGTTTTCACCCAAACTTATTTAGGCTCCTATTTAAGGGAATCTCAGCTGTTTCAGTTAATCAGAAAAGGAATCCACCCACATGAAGATTTACGATTTATTTTTTACATTGCTTTAATTAAATTTACTATTATTATTATTTTGAGATACAGTCCAACTCTGTCACCCAGGCTGGAGTGCAGTGGTATAATCACGACTCATGGCAGCCTCCACCTCCTGAGGCTCAGGTGATTCTTCCACCTCACCCTTCCAACTTGCTGGGAATGCAGGCATGTGCCACCATGCCCATCTAACTTTTATACTTTTGTACAGATGGGATTTCACCATGTTTCCAAGGCTGGTCTTGAACTCTTGGGCTCAACTGACCCTCCCACCTTGGCCTCCAAAAGTGCTGGGATTATAGGCGTGAGTCCCGGAGCCTGGCTGATTTTATTTTTAGATGAATAGAAATATTACTAAAAGCGTATATAGGTATGTTACATTTTTGTTGACTGATTTTTGCAGTATATCATTTGAGATAGATTTACTTTACTGAAAATAAGTTGTCTAGAAACAAATCATGCTAATTCTAATTCAGCTCCATAGAAGTATTGTTTTTTCTTTGTTTTGATTTTTCTGCTTGTCTTTTGGTTGCATGGGAGAGGGGGAGAGATGAAAGTGTGGAACTAGTCAGGGCATGATTATAAAGGTCTTTTATCATCTGCTAAGGCATTTAGACTTGACCTGTACACCACACAGGGTATTTAATCAAACAGTGCCATGAAGAATGTTCATGATGTAAAGATTTGCTGTGACTGTGTCTGTGATTTGGACACTACATTCGATGAAAGGGCAGAATTATAGAGAAGGAGAACAGTTTAGGAGACTTTTGCAGTAATTCAAGAAAACATTATTGGTAAGTTGAAGGAGGTAGTAGGTAATGGATAGACTGAAGACCTGAGAAGATGCAGCAATGATACAACTTTGAGTTTACCTGCAGGGTCTCTGAGAAGGGAATGAAAGAGATGGGGATATCTCTCAGACGCTCTGTTTTGGTAACTGGCTAGAAAGTGGTATTGTTCACTGAAGTCGAGAACATAGGAGAAAGGAATGGTCATTTTATGGAGTAAGATGATGAGTTTGATTTTGGGTTTGTTACTTTGTGGGGGGCGCCCATGGGAATGGGTTTACGAGGCAGTTGGAAATCTGGGACAGGAGCTCCAGGATGAAATCCCAATTTGAGATATGGATTTTGGATATATGTGTACAGTCATGATACAAGGTATGGATTTTGGATATGTGTGTACAGTAATGACAGGTGAGGCCATGAGGGTGTGTATGATCATCCATAGAGAATATTGGAACAGAAAGAAAATAAGTCTGTGGACAGAACTCTGGGGAACTGACATTTGAGAAACAGGCAGGAGAACAAGACCCCTGAAAGAGAAGACATAGAGGAAAAAGGGGAGCAGCAGTAATGTGCTGTCAAAAAGGCCACAATAGGAGGGCAGCTTCAGAGGGAAGGAACAGACTATAGCATCACTTACAGTTCAATTAAGTGAGGGCTAATTATATTAGGTGAGATTTAGCAACATGAGAGTTAAGTGGAGTTCTGGTCTCTACAGTTTCTCTGGAACAGTGAGTATAGAAATGAATGGGAGGAGGAAGTAGAAACAAATGCTGAATTTAAGTGATTTTTTTTTTCTAAATCAATTATGGAAATGTACATAAAAACACCTTAGCCTAACATAGGGTCTTAAAATTGAGATGAAAGTCATACAATCTAACATTATGAGCAATTCAGTGGCATTTAATACATTGACAATGTTGTGCAACCCCCTTATCTATCTAGATCCCAAACATTTTCATCACCCCAAAAGGAAACCCCATACCCATTGGGCAGTGTTCCCTATTTCCTACTGCCTGGGCCCCTGGTAGCTACCCATTAGCTGTGTTCTGTCTCTCTGATTTTCACTTCTGGATATTTCATATAAATGGAATCATATGAGAGATGAGCTTTTGTGTCTAGTTTCTTTCATTTAACACAAGGTTTTCGAGGTTCATCCAGGTAGAGTGTGTTAGCACTTTATTCTTTTTTAAGGCTGAATGATATCCCATTGTATAGATATAGCACAATCACTGTATCCATTTATCTGTTAACAGGCATTTGGGCTGTCTTCACCTTTTGGCTGTTGTGAATAGTGCTTTGTGAACATGCCTACACATGTATTTGAGTACCCTTTTTCAGTTCCTTTGGGCATATACTTGAGCACCTGTAATCCAAAAATTGAATTCAAACTGTTCCACAATCTGAATGTTTATGAGCACCAACACGAATGCTCAAAGGGAGTATTCATTGGGTATTGGATTTTCAAATTTGGGATGCTTGACTTGTTTGTATATGCAAATATCCCCAAATCAGAAAAAATCTGAAATGTGAAACACTTCCAATCCCAAGCATTTCAAATAAGGGATACTCAGTCTGTAGATCTAAAAGTGGAACTGATGGACCTGACATAGTTTTTCAAAACTATACTTCTTTGGTAAGGCTAATTGAGAATCCACAGGGAGCACTGTGCATAGTACAAAAAGTTGGCTTAGTCTGTATTCTTTGAATGCCTTACATTCTCTTTGGGAATCACCATCCAGTAATTAAGCAGCCTGTCAAGAGAGAAGCTGCATATATATAATATACATATGAATGAATACATATTCACTCTGTATACACACATATGCATATACAATATTTAAAGAAGAGAGTATCCATTAGACTGAGTTCTGAATCGTTTTTTTTTTTTTTTAGACAGAGTCCCACTCTGTTGTTCAGACTGGAGTCTGGTGGCACGATCTCAGCTCACTGCAACCTCCGCCTCACAGGTTCAAGCAACTCTCTTGCCTCAGCCTCTCGAGTAGCTGGGGTTTCATCATATTGGCCAGGAGGTTTCAATCTCTTGACCTCATGATCTGCCTGCCTCGGCCTCCCAAAGTGCTGGGATTACAGGTGTGAGCCACCGTGCCTGGTATTTTGTTTTTTAAAGACAAAGTCTAAGAAAAAGCCTGGACAACAGAGCCTGATGTCTAGGCTGGAGTGCAGTGGCGCGATCTTGGCTCACTGCAACCTCCACATCCTGGGTTCAAAGCTGACCTCCTGCCTCAGCCTTCCAAGTAGCTGAAACCACAGGCACCCACAACCAGCTAACTGTTTCGTATTTTTAGTAGAGATGGGGTTTCACCTTGTTGGCCAGGATGATTTCAAACTCCTCACCTCAAGTGATCCACCTGTCTTGACCTCCCAAAGTGCTGGGATTACAGGCGCGAGCCACTGCTCCCAGCCTTGAGTTTTGAATCTTACAAGAGGAAGGCATTTCAGGTGAAGAATTTAGATGAGTTGAGTCACATAAGAGAGAGAAGATGGGCCTAGGGTTGGATGCCTCACAGTTTAATTTTTCTGAAGAATAGAATGCAAGTTGTACTCTAGTTGGCCATAAAGGGAAGAGCAGAGTGATGAAGTAAACTAAAAGCACCCATGGTGCTAACTTAATGGCTAGCTGACTTGTAAAATTAAGATTGTGTTTTCAAAATCAATTTTTACTCATCTCCCAATAACCACAGTTTCATCTATGTTTAGTCTTGTAGATTCTATTCCCTACTCAGAGACACCAGTGTAGATGAAAGAAGATTTGAGTTCTGTGGGTGACAAACAACCTCGCTTCGTTGTGGCTCAGTTAAACTTTATTAGTAAAGCACAGATTAACAAATTCTTGGAGAGGTGGGACAGCGATTACATTTCCTATACATTTGTTTTGGTGATGTAAAGTGACATGTATGCTAAGTCTTCAAAAATGTAATTTTCTTCTGTAGTCTTTTCTTTGTAGAAAGAACCCCCAGCAATCAATGATGGGACTGAGGTTCTGAAAGATGTAGTTCTGTGATTTAATCCCCAAGGCCCTGCCTACAGACTTGGGAGAGGAAATAATGTTTGTTGAGTGACTGTTAGTTGTTTTATTTATCTGAGCTCATTTAAATCACAACAATCACTAACTGGTCGATCCATGATAGGAATATAGATTTGCTAACTCCAAAGTCAGGACTCTGGGCACCATATATACCAAGAATGCTAGTTAGGTTTCTTCCTATGTGCTAGCTGACTAGAGTGGGAGGAAGAGAATATGCTGTGGATACTAATGGGCTCAGCAGACATAAGACTCTGTTGGGTTAGCTATGTTTTCTACGGAGACAGGAGTCGGGGGGAGGCAGGTCCTATGCCTGCCGTATGGTGACCATCCCTAAGCTGTGCCATGCCATGTCACTAGTCATGGCAAGATTCTGGGTGACTTATCAGAACAACATTAATTTTTCTCATGAACTGTATATCTGGGATACCTCCATGGTGATTCAGGGTGTTATCTCTTGATTCTCCCTCATTCATTTATACCATCCCTATTCTATGTACATGATCTCAATACACTAATACCCCGGATTGATGCATTCCTTCCTATTTGTGGTATGTGTTTGTTTCAGGCAGAGAAAGCTGACGGATTTGTCAACCTGCCTGATTTCACTGTGGAAAGAGCATCTGAATGCAAGAAAAAGCAGTAAGTTGTTTCTCATCTTCCACAAAACTCTGAGCCAGGATACTATCTCTTCATAATATTCACCAAGTGATATGGCGATTTAGAAGTGAGTGAAGGTAATAGCCGAATATCTGAGAATTTTGAGCATTATGGGTTGGCACCCTAAATAGAAATAGAAGCATTTAACCTCTCATTTTCTGGAATTTCGTTTTGTGGAGCAGATGGATTTTAAAACCCCCTTGAAGCTTTGGCATGGACTGTTGTTGATGACTGTGTCTGTGATGGAATAAACCCCCTTCAGGACTGGCAGGGAGGTCAGGTGTCAAGCGTCTGTCCTAGTAAAGAAAAGAACAAGCAGTTAAATAGGACTCACTGAGTTGCAGATATGCCATCAAGACCAGTTTCTCTTTCTTCGTTCGTGGAGTTGTCAGATGCACCCTTGGAATTGAATTCTCTGAGATGTCTTAAGCTTGGAGATTACACTCTGACATCCAAAAGATTTGAGAACTGACAGGGACCAAATAAATCCCCAGCTCATGGTCTTGGTTTTCCTGAGAAGGAAGCAGCCCAAAGAGGCTGTGACCTGCTTACAGCTCAGGAAAGAGCTGGCTCTATACCCAGGCATCTAGACTCCCGTTCAAGTGCTCATCCATGATAGCAGTCTGCTGTATTTTGCATACGTGTCCATTTTTGCCTTTTTCTTATTATTTCTTCTACTTTTGACCTCTTTTCCAGTCTTATCAGAAAGGGGCATTCCTTTTGTCCTATGTTACTAATTGCAGCAATGGAGTTTTCTTCTAACAGAATTAGTAAACTTGTGTTAGCTTTAAGCCTTTGTCTCTGGTGTGGTTGCACATGTCCAGAGTTGATTCTTGTGGTTTTAAAAGTACTGGCTATTTACAAAAACCCTGGCCTGTGCAGTGCTGCAGGGCTTCCTGTCTAAAGGGTAGGGTGGAAGCACTTTCTTGTTTATCATCTTCAATGTTTTGTACTTTTCTTCATATTTCTCCTTCACTAACAAAGGGTGCCTTGGATAAGATTTCCAATGTGTTGACACAGAGTGGATGTTCCATACCTGATTATTTTTTTAAATAAAATATTCTTCTGCATATTTGATTGAATGTGAAGAAATAACTCGCTTGAAGTAGTTGGTCTGAATATTTCGAAGTAACATTTCTATCACTTTAAAATTTAATTTATTGTATCTTTATAGCAAAGCAGTTAGCAAGTGAAAAGGAAAGGATATTCCTATGTGTTCTAAATGGAAACGACTGGCCATCTAAGACTCAGCCCTGTTCTGGATATTCTGTTGTAAAAGAAATGACTCTCAGTTCCCTATACAAAACAGAGACTAGACAATAGTTATGTAATGTTACTAAATTATTTTTTTGTCAATTTATGAAGAAAGCAGACAAGTTTACGAAGCTTCTATTGGACTGATTTACTTTCAGACCCACTGTTGACTATAAAAACTCATTTTTTATGTGTTTGTGCTTTTCTTCCTTCAAGTGCTTTTAAGATCAGCCATCCACAGATCAAGACCTTTTATTTTGCAGCTGAGAATGTGCAGGAAATGAACGTGTAAGTAGAGGAAATTGGTAAACATATTCCTTAATGGGAGTATACTTAACTTTGGTCAGGTACTAGAATTTTAATCATATGTTTAATCATAGCTATTATTGTTTTATTTATTTCTGTTACTTTAAGGATCAATTTATTTATCAGTTACAATGCCTTCTTGCTTTCTTCTCTAGTATTTGGAAGCAGTTTGGAGAATTACAAGTATTTTAGAAGGAGACTGTACAGTTCTTCTTGGGGAACCACTAAGTTGAGAAAGGAGTGGACAGAAGTCATTCAAAGAACATGTTAAAATGAGAGTCAGCATCACAAGGAGAAAGGCTTGAAAGTATTATGTAACTGATCTTGCAGCTGTTGGAATTCTACATGCAAAATATCGCTACAGCATTTAATATATGCTGTGTGATTATCGTGATGATTCATGTATTTATCACCTCTCTGTGTATTGTCCTGAACATTTTGCAAAATGTCTTTGCTCAGAGTACATTAAACACAAAATGGTAGATCCCTAGCTCCATTTCCCAGGTGGTCTGTGAAAATAAGCAGTCCGTGTGCACAGCACAACCTGCTCTACACTGCCCCTAATGGTTTAGAGTCAGGTGTGATCACAACAACTGTTATTTATTTTTGACACAGAGTGTTGCTCTGTTGCCCAGGCTGGAGGGCAGTGGTGTGATCTTGGCTCACTGCAACCTCCGCATCCTGAGTTCAAGCGATTCTCCTGCAACAGCCTCCCAAGTTACGGGCATGCAGCATCATACCCAGCTAATTTTTTGTGTTTTTAGTAGATACAGGGTTTCACCATGTTTCTCAGGCTGGTCTCAAACTCCTAACCTCAAGTGATCCACCTGCCAAGGCCTTCCAAAGTGCTGGGATTGCAGGCATAAGCCACTGCACCTGGCCAACAATGGGTATTTGAGTCAGGCTGTATTTGAGGTGCTGACTGGAGGTATCAGAAGGCATTCTATTTAATTTAGCCCTATTCTCAGAATTCTTAGTGTTTCTTACTACTTCACATGACCAATTGAAAATATGTTTATGGAACACCTACCGTGTGCCCCATTGCAGCAGATGGTAGGCAATAGCAAGGAAAAAGCCACACATAATTCCTCCATTCATGGAGCTTATGCTTACTGTGTTTTACTCATACATAATAATTTCCTTACTTATCTGCCCTATATAGTTCTCTTTGCTATCTTGCCCTAGAAACATGAAGAAAAAAAGCAATGGCCTTTCATCAAACACGTGCATGGGCACACACACACCCACACACACACACTCACACACACTCCTTATAGGGTATCTGCTCAGTAGCTCTGTCCAGCTAGGATTCTAATCTGTCCCCAACCCTCACCTCCCGAGCATCACCCTCCAGATGAGGACAGAGTGGCTTTGTACTGTAGAAAGTTGGGAAGCTCTGTATTAGAAATGACAAGACAAGGAACTGACAGATGAGTCTTCCAAGCAAGGCTTTGATTTGCTTAGACAAAGAGAGAAGTTGTTTCTACCCGTTTTCTAGTTGTAGCTTTTTTTCCCCCTTGGCTTTCTTAAGCATCTGAGAAAAATAAGAACAGATACACGAAAGGAGAGGATGTTAAAACTTCCACATCAAAGCTTTTTACTTATTTTTTTAAAATTTGCATCAGTCACTAAGTCCTGTTGGTTGGCAAAGCTCTTGCCATGTAAGTGGGATGTGGAAGGCACAAGGTCTTTGCCCGCTAGTACTTGGAGCTCTGTGACAGTGAGGTCAGTCTGCTACTGAGCCTTAGTTCATCCCAGATGGTCCTTTCTGGTCTTTAATGGCAGTGAAACAGTGCTGCCCCCCTCTCCCCTGTCCAATACCTCCTGCTGTCCTGGCTTTTCTTTAAAAGCACCTTACAGCTCCAGTTTCCATCCCTGACTGGTCCTTCCTGCTTTTTCTGTGGCTGATACCTTGCAAGTAGGTCTCCTCTCTCCAGCAAAAGGTGAGTGAGACAGAGAGTAGCAGAGAAACAATTCCTTCTAAGTGCTTTGTTTGTTACCTAGTGAATTTCTCCTCCTACACAGTAAGGTGCATTTTTAAACCAATGAAAGTGTGAGATCCTTCCATGTTTATCTGAATCTGCTGTATTTCAGGCAGGTTTATTCCCTAAAACTCACATCCCCCTCCTCACCCACGGCCCCAGTGTTTATTTACATTTCCAGTTTATTTATCTTCCAATTTTACGTTTTCCCTCTGCCAAAACCTATTTAATTAATGGTAAGTAGAGTTGCGTGGGTAGATATGATATATATACTTCACCCCAAGACCTTATCACCTATCCATGCTGTGAAGATCTGTTCATTTTACTTAAAATTCTGCTAGTGGTTATCTTTCTAACTTAAAAACAAGATGTAAATTGAAATTTGAACTTGAGGTGTCTGGACTCTATGTTTTTGAATATCTCAGTGACCTTTAGACTTCAAAATTGTCAATCTGGCTAAATGTTCTGTTTTATCTGGGCTTGAAATCTATATGTTTATAATATCATTATAGAGTTTCATTATTCTAAAAATGACTTTTCTAATAGCCAGCAATGCACCTTCTCCCTTCTCCCACAAGATTATGCAGATGATAGAGATTTACTTTGCAGTAACACATGACGAACTTCCTTTCTTACTGCTGCAGCCAGTTTAAGCCAGGAAATCATGTATCTGGGTATTACTTGGTAAGATGAGAGGTGTGGGGGAGGGAGTGGGTAGCATGTGTAGTGATGAGTCCTTGTTTTAGAACTTCTTCCTGGGCAACTGCATTTCTGGATGGTGACATTTCTCTCAGGGACGATGAAGGGAAATGTAATTAAGTTTAGTAGAAACTCTGCATGTTCTGTAGTGAGTCTCAATTTAAAAGTACATGGGTAAGTAATTAAGGGTAATGAAAGAGTTGGTTTCTAAGCAAAGATGGGAGCTGCCTTTCTCAGAAGCTGTTTGTGGGAAGAATGCTCTTGTTTTGTACATGGATTTCTTAACACTTGTTCTCCTCCAACACACACATTCACATCAAGTTAATATACAACAAACTCCCAGGAAACATCTGTCATTTTCTTTTTTGTAAATATAAGTCCTTTTGTGCATCCATCTACTTAGCCACAGATAAAGGTTTTTCCTGCTGCCATGATGTTTTTAAAAAACTTCTTAGCCAGAGGATCCTAGAAAGAAAACGGTTAAACAGGATTCTAAACCATCACTAACTTTTCACAGCAAGTAACTAATGGTTGCCATGAAAAGGATGTAAGTTTTGGGTATGGCTGAGAGAGAGATTTATTGTCAACAGGCTTCTATTTTGCTACATTTTCATGTTTGGGGAAAGAGCTTAGAAATGCCTTTTCTTGTTTCAGACACTCAAGTGAAAACTATTTTTTGTCTCTTTTAACAAATATTTTGCCTGTTTCACCTTCAGATGCTTTTATGGGGGGGAGGGTCAACTTATACAATTATGAACTAAGGTATAAGCTAAAAATTCTTATTATGGTGTTTTTAAAAGTGTATTATTTAAAAAATGTATTGTTTTGTCTGGTCAGTTTTTAAAAATGAACTTTTAGGCCGGGCGCGGTGGCTCACTCCTGTAATCCCAGCACTTTGGGAGGCCGAGGTGGGTGGATCACGAGATCAAGAGATCGAGACCATCCTGGTCAACATGGTGAAACCCCGTCTCTACTAAAAAATACAAAAAATTAGCTGGACATGGTGGCGCGTGCCTGTAATCCAGGCTACTCAGGAGGCTGAGGCAGGAGAATTGCCTGAATCCAGGAGGTGGGGGTTGCGGTGAGCCGAGATCGCGCCATTGCACTCCAGCCTGGGTAACAAGAGCGAAACTCCGCCGCAAAAACAAAAAACAAAAAACGAACTTTTAAACATATATTTTAGTTAATAATACATAAAACATATTCTTGTGAGACAAAGCAAAATATTTCTTGTATCCTCACTTCACTTTCTAATCCAGCTACTCTCCCTAGGGTGAACCACTTCTTTTTGGTTTTGCTTTTATTTTATGCTAAATCAATGCTCATGCCATGAGTTTTTGTTTCTTCAATTTCTTATGGGACACTTTTTTTTTTTTTTTTTTTTTTTTTTTTTTTTTGGTTTTTTTTTTTTTTTTTTTTTTTTTTTTTTTTGAGACGGAGTCTCTGTTGCCCAGGCTGGAGTGCAGTAGTACGATCTCAGCTAACTGCAACCTCTACCTTCTCGTTCAAGCGATTCTCCTGCCTTAGCCTCCTGAGCAGCTGGGATTACAGGCATGTGCCACCATGCCTGGCTAATTTTTGTGTTTTTAGTTGAGATGGTGTTTCACCACTTTGGCCAGGCTGGTCTCGAACTCCTGACCTCGTGATCCACCTGCGTCAGGCTCCCAAAGTACTGGGATTACAGGTGTGAGCCACTGTGCCCGATCTTTTTTTTTTTTTTTTTTTCCATGCAGCCACCTCTTGTGGTTTCCTTTCCAGAAAGGATTATCTCCATGTGGCAGAGGGAGCTCACATATAAATTCATCCAACCATGATCTCGGAAAATACAGCAGTCCATCTTGGGTGTTTCATTCACCTGAATGTACTTAATGACTAGAGAATCTACCTGTAAACACTTGAGTTCAGCATTACTCTCTGTACTTTTAAACATGTGCAGGAAAAATTTAGCATTCTTTTTGGGTCACTAACCCTGTGTCCAGCCCTACTGTTTGCCCTGGGCACACCTACCAACTCCACCATTGGAAACACATCGTTTCTGTAAAGTGACATCTTCCCGATAACTTGATGGCTTTTCATATATGCATGCCTCTGATAGCCTAGGGAATTTCACAGGTGTTCTTACAGTGAACACAAAGATTTGAACCTCTTGATTTGCATGATTTTATGGGGTTTTTCTGGGTTAAGTAAATAGCAAACCATTTTCACAGATCACTTCAGGCCACTTAGGGGAAGAGCAGAGTTATACACTTTTTTTTTTTTTGAGATGGAGTTTTGCTCTGTCTCCCAGGCTGGAGTGCAGTGGCACAATCTTGATTCACTGCAAACTCCGCCTCCCAGGTTCAAGTGATTCTTCTGCCTCAGCCTGCTGAGTAGCTGGTATTACAGGTGCACATCACCACACCTGGCTAATTTTTGTATTTTTAGTAGAGATGGGCTTTACCATGTTGGTCAGGCTGATCTCAAACTCCTGACCTTGTGGTCTGCCCACCTCGGCTTCCCAAAGTGCTGGGATTACAGGCATAAGCCACAGAGCCTGGCCATCCACTTTTAACAATAAGATTACATTATTCCTGACACTTTTCTGTGGATGCCAGTTCATACACATACAAAAACATATCGTTTTTGAAGCACAGTGGATCAGGCTAAACACACTGTTCTATACTTGATCTGTTCAATTAGGAGTATATTAGTGTTTTCCATTTCATACAAAATTCCATTACAAATTTCAAAATTTATAATTTCAAAGGCACAATTACAGAAGATGTATTTTTTCATGTATTTTCCAGGTCATTAACCACCTCCACCCCCATCTTAGTCCTCTCATTAGCTTTGTTATAACATGAAATTGATAGAATCAGTGTTATAGAATAAATTATTTATTCATTTTCTTGTTAATGTTTTTTTTCTTTTTGTCATTATGAGCCTTGTTGGCAGTGAACATTCTGCCACATTTATTTGTGAATATGCAATTGTATTTTTGTAGAATTGATATTTATGATTGGAATTGTTGGGTGAAGGGAATGGATATTTAAATTTTTAATATATCATCAAATTTCCTGCTCAGAATTGGCCGTATCAATTTTCACGTTTAATTTAATAAAAGATGACAATGCTTCTTTTTCTATTTCCTGTTAAATACTTGAAATCAACAATATTTTAAAGTTTTTCCAATCCAGTGGTGAAAATATTTTCCTGTGTTTGAGTATGCGTTTCTGAAAGTACTCTTGAGGCTGAGAAATTTTTTTTACATATTGTCTAGCTATTTGTATTTTTCCTGTAAATTTCTACTCCTTTATTTTACCTATTATCCTATTGAGACTTGATAAACATTTTTGGGTTTCTCTTGCATTATCTGGACTCTTTATCAGTCCAATTTTCAGTGGCTGCTCAGGAGTTTGTGATATCACAGTGCTGAAGGTGATTTCTTAACATAGGCTAGAGCTCATTTTTGTTCTTTAGAAACTCCTACTTTATTTTTAAAAATTGAATTTATTATACATTTTCTATTAAAAAATTACAGGTACAACAAGACTGTGGCAGGTTGAGGGTTGGGTAGGGATTCCTAATTATCTGACAGTTACAGATGTGGGAAAGCACAATATTGTTGGCTTAGTGTAAGTGTAGCATGCTGAATTGTTCATGGCTTGTTCGTGGCCCAGGGTGAGACTAGAAGATGTCAAAAGCATAGATGAATTGATAAATGCATAGCATGGATTTTTCACTGTCTCAAAATAAGTGCAAAAATAAGCAAGATCTTCCCAGTAAGTGCAGGGTTAATATGGTTAGGAGTATATGTCATAGACACACTTTGTGTCCTATCTTTAAAAAATCTGTATTTCAAGATATGTTCCTAAGTAAACCCTTGAGAAGGACTTGCAGTGGTCTGCAGGGACAAGCCAGGTTTGAGGTTCTGTCTAGTTCTATTTTTGTTACTGACGTTTAATTGGAATTCATTGCCAGTAAAATGGTAAATAGGACATTTTCAATTTTTATGTTACACAAAATTCTTCAAGGAATTAAAATTTGTTCCAGTTAAAAAATATCTGTCCAATTATAGCCAGATTTTTTACTGATTGACATAAAAATATTCTTGGATTAAAAATAAATGATCTTTTCCTGAGTTTTTTCTAAAATAAAGTGACATTATTAAGAGTAACGCCCAATAACTTTAATAGCCAAGTTACTAAATCCAGTGATAAAGGGTTTGATGGTTGCTAAAAAGTTCAAATGCACAGAAGATGTATTTGTTCATATCTTTGGAATACCTAATTTGGCTGCCCTCATTAACCAACTGAGTAATGGGCCACCTCACATCTTACCTTACAAAGGATACCTTGAGTAAGGAAAGTATTGTGTAACCAGAGGCCTTAGCTTTTGATGCCACAAACCTATGCTGTTTCTGGAAATGTGCAGACTGATGGTAGAATCATGACTTAATTTCATAAGGAAGTCTGGGGGAAGGTGAATGGGTAGGGGGCTAATATCTTTGGTCGACATTTGCTTTCTATTTGAATTTTAGGTGGTTAAATAAACTTGGATTGGCTGTAATCCATCGGGAATCCACTACAAAGGATGAAGGTATGTTCTATTTTAAATTTCTGAAAATTTAGCAAGAATATTAGAATAGGTTGAAACGGTGAAAAAACAATGTCAAGCTCTATGTATAGTCTGATCCTGAGGAAACATGCTTTGGCATTTAAAACAGTCTGAAAATATGTAGAGACAGACATATTCACACAGACTCACCAACATGGAATAGAGCTTCCCATGCTGGCTAGGAATGCCTTTCACACTTCACCCACACTCTAGCAGCTGTGGGCTTCATGACATCTCAAACAGTTGCCAATGCAAATGTTTAATTGCTCTACTTGAGGAATTCTTACTCATAGACGTGATCTCGTCATGATCTGGTCAGATCACTTTCATCCCACTATTTCCTCCCTGATATTTTAATATTTCCACCAGGTGTGTGCTGAGACTAATTACCCTAAGATTGCACTAGGAACCTGAAGGTCATATTGGGACACATACCATATTTTTAGCTCAGTCAGTAGCTTTCAGGGTTCAAAGCTACAGGAATCTAATTTTTTTTTTTTGTTTTTTTTTGTTTTTTTTTTTTGAGACAGTCTTGCTTTCATCAGGCTGGAGTGCAGTGGCATGATCTTGGCTCACTGCAACCTCCGACTCCCTGGTTCAAGCAATTCTCCTGCCTCAGCCTCCTGAGTAGCTGGGATTACAGGCATGCACCACCACACACAGCTAATTTTTATATTTTTAGTAGAGACGGGGTTTCACCATGCTGGCCAGGATAGTCTCGATCTCCTGGCCTCATGATCTGCCTGTCTCGGCCTCCCAAAGTGCTGGGATTACAGGTGTGAGCCAAGGAGTCTAATTCTTAATGATGCAATTATACCTTAGTATTGAGAAGAGGGAGGATTTAGCTGCCAGGGTCACCAAATTGACAGTCTTTCTGAAATGATCGGATCACAAAAGGGCTTGGGAATTGGAAGTAGGGAGTTATAGCTTCCGATAACAAAATCGTAAAATCATAGAGTTAATTAGAAATGAAAAAGTGGCAACTGGATTTGAAACAATAAAGGGGTACCATGCAAGACCCTGAAATCAGTGGTGTCCTAACCATCTTCTTGGTCCTCTTTTCCATAAAATAAGCACCCATTGTCTATTTATAGATTGTAAGTTAGTACAAAACTACACACAGAACTTCTCCTTGTCCTGGCATGTAACGCCTTCTATGACATGGCCTCTACCACCTTCCAGCTTTGTTTTCTGCCGTATTCCATAGGGGTCTCCACATACTTGGCTCAGCCTCCTCCCTCAGCCTGGGACTCCCTTCCCGTCACAATTTGTGTACCATTGCTGGTTTAGTGATCCTGCCGGTTTCAATTCATTATGATTTCTACAATCAAAATTAATCACTACTGATTTTGTGCTCTCTTAGTATTATGACTCACACCTCTTTTGAGGAATTATTTTATCTCCCCCAAGCTACGATTTGTCTTCTTCCTGCATATTGGATGCTCTTTGAGGTCAGGAGCCCCGAACTGGCCATTTGTTTCTGCCTGTTACGTAATTCCCTTGTACCAGGTAGTTCATTAGATAGGAACTTTCTGAATTGGATTGAAATTGCAATAGCCAGATGGAGAGAAACCTCTGCTCATGCATTATGGAATAAGCGATGACAGCATTAAAACATTAAGCATTTTCATTTTTGTTATAGAATGTTACAGTGAAAGTGAACAGGAAGATCCTGAAATAGCTGCGGAGACACCTCCTCCTTCTCGCTCTTCCCAGACTCAGTCTCCTTCACTATGTACCGATGTAAGTAGTCTGTTGGTCATCGATCAGATACATGGATGCCATTTCTTCCAATTGGGTAGAAAGTAGCTTGACTGATAAATTTTTAGAATGGGCTAAATTAAGGTACCTGCCAACGAGCCAGTGCAATTTTCAGGGTGCTGATTTTGAGCCTTCTCCATAGCAACCCACGGGTATGATAAACTTGGTATATTTGTGTGTGACCCAAAGATGTACCATACTCAGAGGATTTCTGAGGATGCAAAGGACTTCTAGATCATAGGCCAGTGCTCGCCTGACCGTGTTTATTTATGTCCTACTTGTTCTCAGGAAAAATTTAAATGCCATGCCTATGTGCATGTACTATAACAATGCAAAACGAATTTAGGGTGAAAAACAGCAGACAGAAAAAAGGAGAGCAAGAAAGAGAGCAGGAAGTCGGGAGTGGGATTAGTGTGCATTAAAATTGCATATGGAGTGATTTGTGTATTTGCTAGAGAAGAATCCAAATTTGATTCTAAGTGTTGAAAGCACCAAATGTAAGTTCATATTATTAATTAATGTTAAATCTATGGAGAGTTGCTTCATATTTGGATGCTCTTAGCAATATAGTAATGGCCCCTAGAAAGGGTCATGCCGTGAACATTGGGGAAGTTGATTTATGGTTTTTACACCTACTGTGTATCAGGACGTATGTAGGTACTTTAAATGTATAAACTTTTAGTTCCCCAGGCAACCCTGAAAAATAGTATTATTTAATTTGCGTTTTATTTATGACTAATGAGGCCCAGCACCTTTTTTGTTAGCCATTAGAACTTTCTCTTTTGTGAAGTGTCTAAGTCTCTTCTACATTTTTTAGCTGCTTCCTCCTCCTTTTTCTTTTTGAATGATAGGATTTCTTATTGTTCTATATATTAGTTCTTTGTCAGCTATAGGTTGGTGCAAAAGTAATTATGATTTTTGCCATTAAAAATAATGTAAAAACACAATTACTTTTGCACTGACCTATTAAAAGTGAGCAAATCTCACTTTTAGTTTTTCAAAACTCTGTTTCACAATTTCTTGTTGTAAACATATGTTCATGATTTTAATATGTCAGATTTATCCATCACTTTCATTGTGGTGAGTGCCTTTTTCCCCCCGGTTTCAAACATTGTTTCCTGTCCCACATTATGAGGAAGTAGATACTACTATCTGCATTTCATGGTTGAGGAAACTGAGATTCAGAGTGTTGAATGGCATGCTCAAATGTCCAGTGAGTGCCCGAGATGGGAATCCCCATCTGTTTAGCTTCATAGGACATCCTCTTTCTACTGAACCATGACACTTGTCCATCATCGACCCAAATGATGACAGGTTCTGACAGCTTACAGTAGCTCATTCACTTACCAGGCCTTTTCTGCCAGAATTTCTTTTAGTGTGATAAAGTTTTTATCTTTATTATGTTTTGCCAGTTCCTGGATTTAAGTTATTAAATTTGTTGTTTAAATAATGACCTCTACTGTTTTCTCATACTGTCAGTGGAGAATTATGGTCACTTTTCTAATTTATTTGGCTAGCAGCCAAGAAAAGATGTAAATATTTGTTGAATTAATGTTTATTAAAATATTTATTAAATATGATTAGCCAAAATTAAGCAAGATATAAATAAAATTAAACTTCAAATATGGTCAAATTTAGAACAATTTTTGAACTACACTTATAATATATTCTTTCTTAATATAGTCATAGCTTTTCCATGTGTCATCTTTCTCCTTTTTAGAAATCAATTTTGGATTTTAGAAAAAGCTTTTGTTTTCTTTATGTCACTCAAACTTAATGATATCTTCAGACCTTACAACGCTTCCCAGCTTTTGTCAACTCTCTTGTTAGATTACCCTTTAATGCTTCTAAAGAAGTTATCTAAAGATTAAAGGGTAATTGAACTTTGTATCAAATAGGGTAAAGCATTAAAGGGTAATTCTTGTATTGAATAGGTCTTCAAAAAAATGTTCCTTGTTGATTTAAGAGAGAAGCATGTATTTTTTGCTAAGTTTCTGTCTTTGACTTTGTCTCTCTCTGTCTGCTTCTGTCTCTCTCTCCTATTTTAACCTACAACATACAGATATTTAGTTCCTTCTTCCTCCATTTTTTCCTCAAGTTCATTCTCCCTCACACTGTGCCCACCAATATACCTCTTTATGGTTTCTTTAGTTGTGCTATACTGGCATTTTCGGCTTTATAATGGCAAACTAGTGTCTCAGATTCCTTTGCTAAGAGCATTGCCAGGAATCTAGATCTTTCCCTGGTGAAATAAAAGCAACCAAATTGCCTTCTTAGTTGAAGGATCATGGCCCTATTGTATTCTTTGACAGTTGAACCTTATGTACAATAGAAGTTCAGGAAATACTTGATTTAAAACAAATAAATGAAGAGATACTCATGAGGCAAGTAAGTTAGGTCACTAAATTCAGAAACATCTCTAAATTTTCTGAATCATCAATCTAATGTTATGTTTTTAGAAGTTCTAAGTTGAGCATTTTTTTGGCAGGCCATTAATGCTAACATTTTCTAAAGAAATATATTGGAAATAGTCAGATAAATGTTGAACAGTTAGATTTCTTTTCCCCTTAGCAACAGAATGTGTTCCTCCTGCTCACATATTTCCCAGGCAGATTTTGTTTTTGTTTTCTCTTGTTTCTGAAAAACAGACATGCAAGGCACTTGGTTAAACTAACATTTAGGTTCTTTATTTAAGCAGATAGAAATTAAAAAATATATATAGTAACTTTTTTTTTTTTTTGAGACAGAGTCTAAGTCTGTCACACAGGCTGGAAGTGCAGTGGCAACTCACTGCAGCCTCACTGCTGGCTCAGGTCATCCTCCTACCTCATCCTCCTGAGTAGCTGGGACTATCTGTGCGCACCATCACGCCTGGTTAATGTTTTGTAGAGATGTGGTTTCGCCATGTTGCCTAGGCTGGTCTGTGGCTTCTGAGCTCAAGTGATCCACTGACCTTGGCCTCCCAAAGTGCTAGGATTACAAGCGCGAGCCACTGCACCCAGTCATAACTTTTATCCAAAAACTGAATCGAGCTATTGTTTGGCCCAATACAGTATAGGCTAGTGATGACTTAGATATATAAGCCTGGGGGTAAAAATAATTTTTTCTCCAAGTTTTTAGTTAACAAAATTATTTTGGGTGAACTTTCATTTCGTGAAAATGGTATAAAATAATACTATTTTGGAAAATTATCTCAAACAAAGTTAAAATCTTGAAAATATTTAATTCAGTGTCCAATCATTCTGATCATTATAGAGTCAAGATAAACAGTGAAACCAGTTTGGACTTCTGCTTCTAATGGGGTGAACGACATTTCACAAGATAATAAAGAACATGTCAGGAAATCTTCCCTGAGTGAAGAAGAGGTTTTTGTTTATGTTCCTTCTTCTTCAGAAGGGTTCAGAGGGTTGACATGGAAAGAACATCCATTTATTCTTAAAGAAGTTACAAGTGGGGAGCTTTTAACAGGCTTTCTAAAAAGGCTCCAGATAGATGAGAGTCTTTTAGTTTCACTCTGGAAGACAGTTTGTAGAAGCCATTATCTGTGATTCCTTTAGTTTCACAAAAGAGCAAAGAAAGGATCCAGCTTTCCATTTCAAATCTGATAATTGTATAAGCTACTGAGTTAAGTGCTATAAAAGTCACTAAAAAATCTACTCCAGGTATTTTCCTTCAAGTTGAATTTTAAAAAATCATTATGAGACAATGTAGTCTATGCTTCTGGGCATGTTTGTTCATTCAACAAGCATTTATTGAGAGCCAGCATTCTAAATACTTGGGACATATCAGTGAATAAAGTGGACCATGATTCATGTTCATCGTGGAGCCAAACTTCTTGTTGAGGGAGATTGATAATAAACAATCCACATAATATGAAAATATACACTACATCAGAAGTGGAGTCCAATGAGCCAGGATGTGCTGGGGTAGAAAATGGGTTGTGGCAAAGAATAGAGGAGCCAGGACAGGCCCTACTGAGAGCTAAGATCTGAGCGAAATCTTGAAGGGTGGTGTGAGAGTCAGCCAAGTGGATATTTGGGGGAAAAGTTTTCCAAGCAAATGTAACAGCTGGAGTCAAGGTCTCCTTGTGTGGTACTGCAGAGTCCGCTGTGGCTGAAGCAGGGTGAAGCAAGATGAGAGTAGTAGGAAATGAAGCCAAAGCATAGTGGTGGTCACATCATGGAGGGCCTCTGGGCCAGTTAAGGACTTTGACACCTGAGTTATTTAGGGAAACTCTGAGAAGTTTGAGCAGAGGGATGTAATCAGCTTTCATTTCAAGTGGACCCCTCAGCGTTCTCTGTGCAAAAGACCCTGGGAGGTGGGATGTAGGGATAAAATCAGGGAGAACTGAGAGAGCTTATGCAGTAAGCTGTTGTGAGAGATGGCAGTGATTCCATCAGGAGATAGCGCTGGCGTAGTGGAGAAATGGAATGGTTAGACTTTGAATCCATTTGGAGGGTAGACCGTCAAATAGGTAGATCAAATATGAGATAAACAGAAGAGATAAGTATTTGTAATCCCAGCTTCTAGCCCCTTAATGCAGATTATTTCAACATAACAATGCTCACATTTTGGTGTTTTTCCAAAGTAGTTTTTTAAATATTCAAATGATGAAATAAATCAGCTAAAGTAAACAAAAGAAGCAATAAGGAAAAGCAAATCCTGCAAACGTGGCCATTGGCCAGCGACAGAGGAGGAAGTCAAAATTCCCACCAGGCCGAGGTAGGTGGATGGCTTGAGCTTCAGAGTTTCAGAGTTCAAGACCAGCCTGGGCAACATGGTGAAACCCCATCTTTATAGAAAAAAACAACAAAAAAAACCCCAAAAAGTTTAAACACAGAAAGAGGTGAAATTCATTTTGGAAATTCACATTTATTCTTTTTTTTTTTTTTTCTTTGAGACAGAGTCTCACTCTGTCGCCAGGCACAAGGCTGGAGTGCAGTGGCTCAATCTCGGCTCATTGCAACCTCTGCCTCCCGGTT